CTTTTTCCCGGATATGAGGACTTAACAACAAAGTGGAAGATCTTCCAGTTTTTATCTTTCATGTGACCAACGGACGAAGCTATCATTCGTGAGCACTGCTGGTTGCAGCGGTGCCATCTTGAAGTTCTCTTCAAATTTGTTCACGTATACTTTTGCCAATAGAGGTGAGCACGGCGATCACATGGAAAGTCCAAATATTTGTTCAAGCTGATAAGTTGTGTTACCGACTCCCTCCTGATCTGTTGTGATTCCTCGGCTGGGCCACGTGAATTCCACATCGAAGCTTACCAAAAAGTCACTTTCTTCCAGTGCTATGTTTTTGATTTTTTGAGAAAATTCATGTGAATGCTTCACTCTGTTTGATAGTCTCTCATTTTATTTCAAACATATAAACTTTGCCAATTTGTGTGTTGCTCCATACTGCGACCATACCGAGGGCCACACCATCTTGGTCTTCATATATCTTCAAATCATGTAATGCCTATACTTGCTAAGTTGGGCAATAAAAGTAAGTAGAATTTCACCCGACCACCTTTTTTGTTCGTAAATGACGGCTTCTGGCCCTGACGATGTCAGTCACATGCCGGATGAAATCTCATCATGGATCGGTTGGCATGGCAGGACCGTGAGCTGAGATCCTCTTTACACGATCCAACAGTCACAAGACCGGGCGCCTTCAGTATCCGGTGCGGCCAAGTTATGAATCCCTTTGCCCGCCTTTTTGAGCAAAATGAAAGGTGGGCCAGCATCAAATCATGTGATGCCTCGACGGGATCTCAAAAGTAGTGAGTATCATAGGGCTCACAGGAAAGTGAGCCATTATGTGGCTATCGGATGCAACAAATAACATTTTCTTCGAGATGAAAAGTCGAGTCTAATTAGCTCAATTCTGCCACGTTAATGAGGCACTCCATAGTTATTTTCGTATTAGAGTAGAGTTTCGAGACTACCAGTGAATCAGTGTAATGAGATGTATTCACCCGATTTCGTTTAAGGTGATAAAGGACTGGTAGAAGAAGAATTTTCCCACAATGATATGAGTTGAGCTGACGCTTCTATTCAATTTCACATAACATTGCTTTCCCAAAAGTTTTTCTCCTCCAGGGTGGACTGCAGTTTCGATCTCGCATCACACATATCATTGTGGGAAAATTCTACTACCATTCCTCCATTATCTCAGACCAAATAGGGTGAATACATCTCATATTACTCCATAGTTCGTTGGGCTACTTATTATCTATCCGCTCTAGTTTGATCCACTTGTTCATGCGTGTGAATGTGAGGATAAAGCGGCAATTTGTCTTCACATTAGTCCACCTTGTACTCGACGGTTCGTGCCAATCCTCTCTTCTGATTCATCATCCTTCACCCATTTCTCCTACTCGTCATTTTGCTTAGTCCATAGTTGTTCGCTTAACTATTGGCTCGCTATATCTCTCATAACTTTGGGTTTCAGAACACTCTTTCTGGTATCCCGCGTTGGCGATAGGCTCGGTCAATTTGGGTTGATGGAACCACAAATATCTACAGATGCCTGTGTGCTCAGATGACCTCTTCTTCACAGAACCGCTTAACGGCCTGACTTGCAGAGAGAATACGAAAATTCTCCAGGACAACAACTCAGCCAAACTGGTTCGTTTAAGATGAGTTAAGTGATAACAGAGGAGATTTTTCCCACCATGTTTTGATTGGGCCTCCAGATTTCATTAAGTTTCCCTTGGTTTTGTCTCCCAGAAGCTTTCCTCATCCAAACCGGACAACAGTTTCGAACTCGTCCAGATCTCAGCCTCAATTCAACGGGAGTCGAGATCGGGGCATGCGTATTGTGGTGAAATCTAACCGCTCCGCATCTTCATAATCTCGTGGAATAACTCAGCTTAATCCACCCAAGTTCTTGTTCAGCAGTAGTGGCTGTTTGGGTCATACTTTCACTGCGAATCACATGCTCCTCTTCTCAACGCAACATCCGGACCCCTCACCCAGTCCGCAGTTCGTTTATATATTCTTGCAGGGCCGAAAAGTCAGACACGTGCTACAGTTGTCCAACTATAAATTACTATTTCATGCCATTCTTTTTCTTTATATTCTCACCTACCTGACAATTAGGTATAAAGTTTTAGTTGCACAATCTTAACTTCAAACCCATAAGAATATTAAGCAAAGGGGCTCTTAAGATAACCTGCAGATGAGAGGTCCTCTAACCAAAATGGTCCCTTCTTTGTACATTTTAACATTCTAATCGGCCTGCCTAAATAAAATTTATTTTAACATTAATTTCAGATATATTTCTCCAGTAACTTTTTTCCATGTTGCTAAGTAGCATAGTAGTAGTGCATATAGCCAACCAATAATTTGGGAACTGCGAGTACCTCTTAAATTGGGCGAAACTATAATTACAGCCTCTGTCAAGGCTGGACCACCTGAACAACAGTCAGACTCAGGATAGCTTCGAAAAAAAGCTCCTATCTCATACAGTAGTAGCGTGTCTAAAGCAATGACAGATGCACGGTTGCCTATCGACACCAAATCTCCCCTAGATTATGGGAAATGATGAGAAGGTTGCTTTGCTCTTTGCTATTTGGTCAGATTTATGTGGCTTTTGGGGAAAAAACCACGTCAGTATTTGAGTACCTTTCCTTTCATTTTAAGAGGCGAATGGAAGAGATTCGTGAATTGCTGTCGCCGGAAGCCTTGGAGCTATGACTGTATGTTCGTGTGAATAACTCTGTGCTGAGTTAAATTAAACTTATGCTCCATAGGGTGAACACACCATTTATCAAGGCCTGTGGTTGCTTTAGAAACCTGCTTAATCGGAATGTTCCCTTCAATTCTTCAGGTAATCTTACGGTTATTATAAAACGTTTTTTACAAGTGGTTTGTATCCACATCAACCCTTGCGATTTCAACTTTCTGATAGTTGTATTTTCCTCACTTCATATAACAGACTATCAGGGTCTGGGAAAACTTATGAT